ACGAACTAGTGGCGAAGAGTGCGGTCTTTTCTAGGAGTATCAGTTCAGTGCAATCCCTTATCTGTTTTTATTCTTCTTCGGTATAGTTTTAGCAGAACTGTATATTTTCTCCACTGATATTAGGCTGTAATTGAGAACCGTATGTGGTTTTCTGCCCCTTCTGTTTGGATTATCGCAGCTTGGTTGCTTAATATTGCAACTGGGATGTATCCATCCCAGTTCCATACGTAGAGTGGAGACCATATTTCCAGTATATACTAGTTAAGATGCTGAATAAATAGTAGATACTCATCTTCAGCTGTTTATTTGATTTTATCAATGAGTATGTTGGTGTTATTGTGAACGGAAGTAGGGCTGGGCATATTCGGTTCGGTTCGGTTTTATGCACAATCCGTATCCAATCCGAATTTTTCGGATTCTCAAAACTCTCATCTAGATCCAGATTTTTTCCCCTTCATCCGAATATTCGGCCCAACCGAAATTCGGTTCGGTTCGGTTCGGTTTCGGTTTTGAATTTGCAAAGAGTTCTATCCAAAGACTTATGTTGTGAATTTGCAAGCTGGGCATTGTCCTCATGATAAGGTTCCTGAGCTCGCCAACAAAGCTTTATTAGACTGGTTATCATCTTTAGAATAAAGTTTTGAGTTGATATAATTACGCAGAGAACTGATGTTTTAAAGATGTTGTTCATATAATACATCATGCTTATCTCTTGTAAGTATCATGTACATAACACATTTTGTGATTGATTTGAATCTTATGTAATTCTCAAGATTTTTTCTGCGAAATTAAAGTTTAAGTTTATTTAATTACACGGGGGAGTGATGTTTTGTATGATATTGTTCATATAATGTAGCGTATACATCTTTTATAAGTGCATCATGTGCATAACAAATTTTCTGGATTGATTTGAATCTTTACTTAGTTCTCAAAGATATTTTTCTGTGATATTGCTGTACTCATTGCTTAAAACTGCTCCTTGCGCCGTTTGAGTCAATTGGATGATAACAGGAAAAGTTTTGAGGTTTAAGTTTAGTCTCTAAACTGCCCAACAATTTTTTTCGGGCGGTTCAGGGGTTCAAACCGGATCCAAACCGATTTAATTCGGTTCGGGCGGTTTAGAGACTTATTCTCATCCATTTAATTCGGTTCGGTTAACCGGTCCGTTTTTTCGGGCGGTTTTTTCGGTTGAACCGGTTTTTTTCGGTTTTTGCCCACCCCTAAACGGAAGTGAGACGTGGGGTCCACCCGTTGCGTGGAACAAACCCAACGAAGTGGGTTTGTTCACCGACCCAAAAATTTGCTTATATAAATAGCAAATTTCTCCTAGGGTTTCGTGAGCAAAAAGGGCAGAAGCAAACGCAAAGGAAAAAAAAAAGGGGGTCGGCTGTTTTTTTTTTCCTTTGGCTGCGGCTTCATGTAGGGATTTATTTTTCGGCATAAGTGATTGTGTGTAGTCCTTTTGTGCTTTTGTAGTGAGATATTGTGAGGGATTTGAGAGTTTGTTTGAGGGTTTAGATTGAGTGATTGTAAATCCTAGTTGTATGAGATATTGTGAGGGATTTGAGAGTTTGTTTGAGGGTTTAGATTGAGTGATTGTAAATCCTAGTTGTATCTCTCCCTCTAATAGTAGATCTCCCCCTTCTTCCCCCTGGACGTAGGCAGTTTGCCGAACCACGTAAAATTGGTTTGTTTATGTTTGTGGCTATTGTAATAGTTTTTAGGATCCCTCGACAAGTCAGTCCTAGAACTGATGAGAGGAAGAGCTGATATCTCACTTTGTTGAGATATTCGCTTCAGATTCTTGTTTCCTTGGTGAGACGGGAATTTTTATTGATCTTTCTCTCTTATTATGCATCAGAAACTCTACCGAAATTTTTGCTGCGCACAACAAGTGATATCAGAGCCCAGGTTCCGGATCTAGGGTTTGGTTGGAGGAGTAGATCAATTTGGAGGCTCGTCTAGGGCTTCGTTTGGTGATAAAGGTAGGATCTTTTAGTAAAAGACTCTAGCTTTTCAGTTTTGGATGTATTCTTCATTCGTTGGTGCGTTGAGAAAGATGTCGTGGAAAGAAGGTGCTTCGGGTGTTGAGGGTGGTGCTTCTGGCGCGAAGACCATTCAGAATTTGAATATCCACTCTATGAAGATAGATGTGGAGAAATTTAATGACACAAATAATTTTGGATTATGGAGATCCAAGGTTTTGGATGCGCTGAACGCACAGAATTTGGAGGATACCTTAGAGTTAGATGACAAGCCAGATGATATTGAAGAATAGGTTTGGAAGAAGATGAATCGAACAACGTGTGGTGTGATTAGGTCTTGTTTGACTCAAGATCTAAAATATGATGTGATGAATGAGACTTCTGCAAAGAATATTTGTGAGATTCTCGAAAGCAAGTATCTGACAAAGAGTGTTAAGAATCGTTTGCATTTGAAGAGAAGACTTTATCGTTTCCAGTTAAAGAAGGGAACCTCAATTAGAGATCACATGAACATCTACACAAAGCTTCTTGCGGATTTGGCGAATGTGGATGTCATGATTGAAGATGAGGACAAGGCGTTACTGTTGTTGAGTTCCTTGCCCGACGAAGAATATGAGACATTCGTCCTTACTCTGATTAATGGGAATGCATTTCTTTCGTATAGTGAGGTCACTGCTGTACTGGTGAATTATCAGCTTCGGAAGAAGGATAATGAGACTTCGACTGAGTCGGTAGCAGAGGCGTTGACTGCAAGAGGGAAGGGTCCAAACTGAAAGAATTGGAAGTCATAGTCTAGAGTAGGACATCCTACAATTGGAAAAGATCAGTGTGTTTGGTGCAAGGAGACTGATCATTGGAAGAAACACTGCTCAAAGCTCGACGAATGGATGAAGAATAAACAGAAGGGAAAAGGGAAGCAACCATCATCAGAAGCAAACATCGTATCGGATGGTAATATTTCCGACTCTTCTATTTATTCGTTTTCTATCAGTCCTACATGTAGCTATTCGAAGGAATCCGGGTGGATGTTGGATAGTGGTACGACCTATCATGTGTGCCCTAGAAGGGAATGGTTTTCCAGTTTTAAGAAGCTGGATAGTGGTGTGATGTACATGGCTGATAACCGTGCATACGAGATCCTTGGGATAGGAAGAATTCGCATCAAAATGTTTGACGAGACTGTTAGGGAGTTAAATGATGTGAGATATGTTCCTTCTTTGAGGAAGAACTTGATCTCGATTGGAGCTTTGGTTGGAGAGTGTCTAAATGTTCGAATTGAGGACATGGTTCTCAAGATTATGAAAGACTTTCGGATTGCGATGAAGGGCGTCAGGAGGAATAACCTGTATTACTTGACTGGAGGTATAGTGGCAGGTGGAGAACTGGCGACTTCTATTGATTCGACTAGACTGCGGCATTTGGGACTTGGCCATTCCAGTATTGATTCCTCGCATAGATTGAAAGAGCGTGCGAAGACCTACAGTTTAAAGTCCAGTGAACATGTTGATGTGAGCAAGAAGACCAAGGTGAAGTTTGGCCCTCTATTCACCGTGCTAAGGGTCATTCTGGAGGAGTTCACGTGGATGTTTGGGGGCCTTCTAAGGGGGCATCATTGGGAGATAATAAAAATTTGTTTTCCTTTATTGGTGGTTGTTCTAGACGTGTTTTGGTTGCAACCAAATCCCTTTTGGATAAAGTCCTTATAGTCTCCAACAGATTGAAGAAGTGTGTGATAGACAGAAAGGTGAAGGTATTTCATTCTGATTTTGATGGGAGGTACAAGATGGACCTATTTCTGTATTGGAGCCGAGCTCACGGCATTACGAGACACTTCGTTAGAAATGAAATCTTGGGGCAACTAGATATGGTGACAAATTTAGAGAACCGTGACTTGCTGGAGAATGATCGGTGTTTGTTATCAAGCAATTGTTTGCAGAAGAGTTTCTGGACTGAGACTTCGACATATTTGGGTTATCCTATTAAAGAGTTATCAACTGCTGTGATTGAAGGTAAAACTCTATTGGAAGATAGGTCTGGTTGTGTCACTTTGGATGAGGTTTCGATGAGGGAGCTAATTGACTCTCAGCAGGTGGAGAGTTTTGGATAGACCTTAGACGTATCGCAGCGGGTGGAGATGGATGTTGCTCCACATTGGGTGAAGATTACTTCAGATCATACTGTATTGTTTGGGATTCCAACTGAGATGACACAGCTTAGGGATCATTTGGATTTGGATGCAGATGATGAGTTGGGTTTTGATTCGGATGTAGCTGATAGATATAGTTTGGATATGGCCATTGATTCACCTCAGGTGGAGGTGTTTGAGGTCATTGGATGTGCTATCAGCCGCAGAGTTGATGATATTGGAGAAGGGTTTGCGAACTCTTCTAGTGGATTGAGGTCGTTCGCGGCCATTTGGGTGAACTATGTTCGGCTTGATTCCTTAGGCAAGAGGATACGTAGGCAGTCAGTTTTGATGCAGTCGATTTGATGAGTTGATACCGACATTTGGAGAGTGCTTGCATTCTTATTTGGGTTCTCGACTTGTTGTGGATTGAGTCCGTTGTCATGAATCGTTTACTTCGTACTGGACACAACAAGTGGGACATTTGGATGCTTTAGTATCAGCTCAGTTTTGGGAAAAACTTCGTTGAAGTGGAGAATTATGAACAGAAGTGAGACGTGGGGTCCACCCGTTGCGTGGAACAAAGCCAACGAAGTGGGTTTGTTCACCGACCCGAAAATTTTCTTATAAATAGCAAATTTCTCCTAGGGTTTCGTGAGCAAAAAGGACAAGAGCAAACGCAAAGAAAAAAAAGGGGGTCGGTTGTTTTTTTTTCTTTTGGCTAGTGATTGTGTGCAGTCCTTTTGTGCTTTTGTAGAGAGATATTGTGAGGGATTTGAGAGTTTGTTTGAGGATTTAGATTGAGTGATTATAAACCCTAGTTGTATCTCTCCCTCTAATAGTAGATCTCCCCCCCTTTTTTGTCCCGTGGACGTAGGCAGTTTGCTGAACCACGTAAAATTGGTTTGTTTGTGTTTATGACTATTGTAATAGTTTTTAGGATCCCTCAACAAGTCAGTCCTAAAACTGATGAGAGGAAGATCCGATATCTCACTTTGTTGAGATATTCGCTTCAGATTCTTATTTCCTTGATGAGACGGGAATTCTTATTGATCTTTCTCTCTTATTGTGCATCAGAAACTCTACCGAAATTTCCACTGCGCACAACAGTTATGACTAGGATGTCTCCAATCAGTAATAATCAGAGGTTGTCCCCCTCAGACCTTTGAAAGTTTGGAGCCTTTTGCTCTTGCAGAAGGCAACGTAGGAAACTTGTGCACGTGCACAGAGACTAACGATGCTGTGTTCATCGTTAATGCTTGTTTGGTTCAGATAATCCCGAACGCACAATTTTCACTAGTAAAACAGTATGAGATCAGCATTTGAATACCAACTAATACTGCGCACACCAATCTTATCATTATTTATGGAAACACACGCTTCACACAGAGTACAGGCATACTACACAGCAACAGTACTGGTATTTTATTTAGAGTCGGGAGTAGAGCAACATAGCCTTCACTCCAGTGGATCCCTTCACCTCTTTAGGGCAAAGTATAAGCTGCAAACAATTTCAAATCGTAAGAATTGATAAGAAACTGACAATTAATTAAACTGCTACTACATCGTATCAACATTGATAAGAAACTGACAATTAATTAAACTGCTACTACATTGATAAGAAACTCACCTCCGCACTTGTAGCCAACAGGGCGATCAGCGAGGTTGCATCTCTTTGGAATGGTTATGGCTGTTTCAGGCTTGACTCCGGCACTTCTTGCGGTGTTTGATAGCATAACAGCACAGAGGCAGCTAGGGTTTTTCCCAAGCTCTTGCACCGCCGAGCAACACCTACTTGAAACTTGAGCATTCGGATCCTGTGATGCTTCAGCACAAGGAGCCATCTTAAAGGCCATTCTATCTGTGGGAACATTTCCACACTCCCCAGCACCATCAACTCCTCCAAATGCTGCAATAACCATAAACAAGCCGAGAAAGCAAAGGAACTTAACTGAAACCTCCATTTCTTTCAATCTTAGGTGTACACATTAGGCTGTAGTCTGCTCCATTGTATATAGTGGTGGAGGAATTAACAGAGGATTGACAAATCAGCTCCCACTACGGTTAAGTGGAATCATCACTACATTGATTATGGGAGCACCAAGTCACACTAAGAATTGAAGTGGATCTAGCAATAGCACGTCACTTGGCCTAATCAAATGGAAGTGGGTATGTGCAATAATCATAGTCATCTTTCACTTCAGCTTCTCTGGAAATGCATAGAAAGAGCCTCTCGTAGGCAGTCGCCATCTTGGTGGCGGTAAAACGATGCTGTGCCCTGTTTCTAGCAATCTCTCCTTTCTTCTTAAGAACTTCTTTTCCGTCTTCTAATACCTTGTACAACGACTTCTTGAGTGAATCTACTGTCGGTAAAAATGTGTAGCCGATATCTGGACTCACTATTAAGGAGCCCGTAATGCTTGCAAAGCGGGTTCCCATTACGGGCAATCCAGAAAGCATTGCTTCTATAAACGTGTGATCGAGACCCTGAGCTCTTAATGTTGGGTTTAAGAAGACATCGAGAGAGTTATAGAACATTGCTAGTTGAGGCTGCTCTAAAGGACCAAGCACATGCAAGTTTGGACCTAGTTCCTTATATCGACCACCCCATGGACCGTTCCCAGCAACAACAACTGCTACGTTACCTCGAAAGCTCTCACTCTCATTAAGAACCTGTTTGAAGGCTTCAAACATAAGGGGATGCCCTTTGTCCTTCACTAATCTCCCGGCCATTCCTATTACCAATGTCACACTGTCTGGTACCCCGACTTTCCTTCTGAATTCCTCGCCTCTCATCGAATATGGCTTGTATACCTTTTCGTCTACTCCATTCACAATGATATGCACCTGTTCTTCTGGAATCATGTAAATTCTCTTGAGCACATCGCCAACATGATCACTCGTAGCGACATGGTGAGCATAATCACGAAAGAACTTCACCTCTTCGATCACCTTAGGTAATCTCTCTGTTATTCCAGGATGACGAGACGCGTTAGGACTCCTTAAGAGATCCTGAACAATGTCGGAGTGTATAGTTTCATAAGCAATCCCGTGCCAAGAAACAGCGAGGTTGCTAATATTCCTAGCCCGCCCATGGAAAAGACCGACACTCTCGGTATGGATCACATCAAAAGGTTTGCCTGTCATGTTTTGGGTGCGAAATTGCTCCCAAGCCAGAGCTTGGTTGAGGTAACCACCGGGGGAAGGGGGGGTTTGGTGAATTTTCATGGAGGCCGGGTGATTCGAGAGCGTGGAGTTTTTTGATAAGGTGGTGAACACATGAACCTGATGGCCCCTCCTAGCTAAGGCGAGATGGAGGGTCAAAGCATGGCGCTCGAGCCCGCCTGCGCGATTTTGATGAGGCCATTTCTTGACGAAAAGGGCAATCTTGAGCTTTCTTGGGGGAGGCCTTTGAGAGAAGGAGAGTTGGTTCCATGCAGAGGGAAAAGAGAGGAGGTTGAAAGATTGGTTGTAGTACTCTCGTGGGGTACTGATGACGGAGTCAATCGTACAGGGAGCAGGGCCTTGAGACCAATAAATGAACGAGACTGATGAGAGAGCAGAGAGAGCAAAGAGAAGACAACACATGCAATATTGGAAGTTGAGGCGATCTTTTGCAGCCATGGCTGGAGCTCGGAGGAGTGAAGGGGATCAGGTCTGTAGTGGTAATTGGTATGTAGGGTAAATATATATATAAGAGGGGTAAACTAACTCGATTGATCCAAGGTAATAATTATGAAAGGGGTCGTAGTATTTGACTTGAGAGGAGTGTTGCCCATGTGAGTGCGGAGTATTTGGCAGATTTAGGCAACAATCCATTAAATTTGACGCACCTTTCCGAACTCCTACAGGCTGTCACTCGTCATAGTCAAACTAGACTATTAAATCTCCGTGTAAACTAAGCAATCAGCAACATAGTAGTACGTCTCTACGCGGGCCAAACCCACTGGAACCTTCCAATAAACTTTGTTGTAATTTTTTTATGATGCTTCTAAAGCTTGCAAAAGATGAGCAAATTCTGAATAATCTTTTTGTATCATACGACTCCTTGTAATTTGCAGGTGGATACGGTTATTGAATTAACATTTCAGTAGTGCATCTCTGTAGTGCATTCCAAACCGCTAACAATGAATTCCTCTATTATAAAGAGCAGCATCGGGATCAAAAATTTTACCCCCCGAGTTTTATCGTGATTGATCATCTAAAGTTGCAAGAGAATACACCAACCTCACTAGATTTGGCGTGTAGAACTCAAACATTACAAAAGGAACGATTGTTACCCCCAAAGATCAGGTTTCATTCAGACCTGTAGAAATTGTTAAAAATGGAAAAACTTTTAGCAGCTTCAGATATATAATGTGAACGTACCTCATCGTGGAACCCTAAACCCAACTCTAGATCTCAGTGAGTGAAGAAGATCACGCGGATGTGTTGAGAGCCTCCGTCTGGGTAAAGGTCATGAGTGATCAGTCGCTACGCCAAACTTATATTAAGGGGGATCTTCCGATACTTTCATAGTTATGAGGGGTTAAAACTTTGGGGGCCTTTTGATATTTTAGCCTTTTGTTTATGCAACTACCAAACTATTTACAAGACCATGATATCAAGCAATATATATAGCAAATTAAGGGTTTGAGATGACTCTTGTTTGCAGTAATAGATAGAAGGGAATATTTGCCGTGAGTCTTTAGTGTTTCATTACTCACAATATATAGTGATTTACAAAAGCAAAATAGGTAAGAGTTGCAAAAGGAAACTCCTACACTAACCATATGAGGAATCCTATACAAGGTAACTAACCATATGAGGAAACCTATACAAGGTAAATATCAATTAGATATTATGACAATAAATGCTAAGAATATATTCTATATTCTAACAATCAATTAGATATTATGACAATAAATGCTAAGAATATATTCTATATTCTAACACGCCCTTCAGTCGAAGCGGGAGGAGGCCGGACGCTGAGACTGGATCGAAATTCATCAAACAAAAGGCGCAGGAGACCTTTTGTGAATATATCGGCATACTGATGGCGAGACGGTACGTGGAGAACCTTGATCTGGCCGAGGGCGACTTTCTCCCGGACGAAGTGGATGTCCATCTTAATGTGTTTCGATCGTTGATGTTGCACCGGGTTGCCAGACAGATAAACATCACTGATATTGTCACAATAAACTAGTGTGGCTTTCTGTAGGGGACAATGAAGTTCCAAAAGAAGGTTACGGAGCCAGCAAGTTTCGGCAACAACATTAGCCACGCCCTTGTATTCGGCTTCTGCACTGGATCGGGATATCGTCGGTTGTCGTTTGGAGGACCAGGAAATAAGGTTGTCGCCAAGAAAAACACAATATCCAGAAGTCGACTGACGCGTGTCTGGGCATCCGCCCCAATCAGCATCTGAATAGGACACCAAAGAAGTGACGGATGATGGATAAAGATGCATGCCCAAATTTAAGGTTCCTTTTATGTAGCACAGAATGCGCTTGGGAGCCTGCATGTGAACTTCCCAAGGATCATGCATAAATAGACAAACCTGCTAAACGGCATATGAGATATCCGGGCGGGTGATAGTGAGATACCGTAGAGCTCCAGCAAGGCTGCGATATTCGGTGGGATCTGCTACCGATGGGCCGGAATTAGCGCTTAGCTTCGCCTTTGTATCAACAGGCGTGGCTGAAGAGTTGCAGGAAGACATGTTTGCCCGCGCAATTATTTCCTCGGCGTATTTTCGTTGAGAAAGAAAGAGTCCACCGGCATGTTTCTGAACAGAGATACCCAAGAAAAAAGAAATAGGGCTCAAATCTGTAATAGAAAATTTTGAGCTCAGCTGAGAAATGATGTCTCGTCGCTGAGGGTCAGAGGAAGCTGTTAAAATTATGTCGTCGACATACAGCAGAAGGAAGGCCATGTCATGACCCCGTCAATATACAAAGAGTGAGTGATCTGATTTGCTATGAACAAAACCAATGGACTCAAAAAATGTAGCAAAGCGGTGATACCATGCCGGGGGGCTGTTTCAGACTGTAGAGGGACTTGCGGAGTCGACAGACAAACTGAGGATGAGAGTAGTCCCGAAAGCCAGGCGGCTGATGCATGTACACTGTTTCGTCAAGGTGTCCGTGTAGAAAAGCATTCTTGACATCAAGTTGATGTATGGACCATGACTTTGAGAGAGAGAGAGAGATGGAAAGAACAGTGCGGATTGTCGTTGGTTTTACCACGGGACTGAAAGTTTCATCATAGTCGACTCCAACTTGCTGAGACTTCCCATTAACAACCAGACGTGCCTTGTGCCGCTCAAGTATGCCATCCGACCTATACTTATGTTTGAACAACCACATACAACGAATAATATTAACCCCCGGAGGACGTGGAACCAACTCCTAGTCTTATTTTTAATAAGAGCATTAAATTCATCATGCATTGCTGATTTCCAATTCGGGTCATGTAGGGTGACAATGGGCGATTTGGAAAGCGGGGATGGTGAAGATATATGAGTGGTGAGGTTGAATGATACATTGGGTTTTAAGGTTCCTACTCGGCTTCGGGTGGTCATCGGATGAGGGGGAAGGACTGTGGTTGTTTTGGCCGCGGGACGGTGGTCTGGTTGGTTCTGACGGAGACGGTAGTAGTGGGCTGCCGTGTGTATACGGTGATGTCAGGATTGGGATGACTGGCTGAGAAGGAGGCCGAGATGTTGGGCCGACAATGGGTTGGTTTGTTTTGGTTTGTGGCTGGGTGTGACCGAACAGCTGGTGTGTCAGGTATGGAGACATAGTATCCTCTAAGAAGGAATAGGATAGGTTGGTAGATGTGTACTAAGATGAAAAGGGAAAAGAGGTCTCGTCAAACGTAACATGGCGAGAGATGATAATTTTGTTGGAACTGAGATCAAGGCATTTGTATCCCCGGTGGTTGGAGGGGAAACCAAGAAAGATACAGGTGGTAGAGCGGGCTTGTAGTTTGTGAATGGTGGGAGATGGTATATTGGGATAGCATAAGCACCCGAAAACTCGTATGTGGGAGTAAGATGGGACTTTGCGAAAAAGAGCCTGAGTGGGGGAAATAAAGGATAACATTTTGGAGGGGAGTATGTTATGTAGATATGTGGCCATTTGGACAGCGTGAGGCCAGAGTTTTAGGGGTATAGTGGCGTGAAGTAAGAGGGTGCGAGCGATGTTGTTTATGGATCAGATTTTGCCCTCGGCTTTCCCATTTTGAGCAGAGGTGTAGGGGCAAGAAAAACGAAACTGCATGCCATGAGTTGTGCATAGATTTTTGAAAGGAGTGTTATCATATTCTTTTCCATTATCACACTGGAAAGTTTTAATTTCTCGTTCAAACTGTGTACGAATATAATTGCGGAAGGTGAGAAAACACGAGAATGCTTGGGACTTGTGTAGAAGAGGGTAAGTCCACAAGAAATTAGTAAAATTATCCAGAAATAAAATATAATACCGGTGACCAGATGGACTTAGAATAGGAGACGTCCAAATGTCACTATGTATAATATCAAAAGGCATGACAGTAGAAGTATGTGAAGGATAAAATGGTAATTTTATATGTTTGCCAAGTTGGCATGACTGACAAACCGAAGTACGTGCTTTATTACGTGGAATAAAATTATTTGTTTGAAGATAATCAAAGACTGGTTTACCTGGGTGCCCAAGACGATTGTGCCAGACATTGGAGGACGTGGCAACAAAGGCGAAGCGTGAGGAAGGCGGGGAGGGTGAGGTCGGAAGGATCGGGTAAAGATCCCCGGTGCTATCACATCTCATAATTTGGGTACCCGTTCGAAGGTCCTTCACAAAAAAACCAAGAGGGTCAAATTCAATAGAGACAGCATTATCAACAGCAAATTGACGAACATAAATTAAATTTTTAATGAGATTCGGTGCATAGAGAACGTTTCGGAGTTGGAGAGGGGGTAAGGACGGGGTAGGTTAGTTTGGCCACAACCCGAAATAGGAATGGCGTTGCCATTACCGACAATGATGTTGCGTTTAGTACTCAAATTAAAATAAGGCGAGAGAGTACCTGAGCTGGATGTCATGTGAGCTGTTGCACCTGTGTCCATGTACCAGTTTTCATCCGGGGGGTTGATGGACATGGTGTGCATTGCAGCATTGATGTCAGTTGGGGCGTAACCCGGTGTGGCCTCATTAAAGGCGCCGAATGCCTACTGTGGGTGTGGTCCAAGGATGCCCGCCGAAGGTGTGTGCTGCTAGGCGGGCTTGTTGCCCCAATTTGCTATTGGATAGGGG